TTCTAACTCTAAATCTTTGGCAGCCTTAAACTTAATAACAATGGAATTAAATTCATTGATGCAATATATATTATTCCTAGCACTTGAATGATTTCCTAGAAATGAACTTGCTAATATGCAGAATGCTAAGAATTTTGACATATTGCCAAATTACCCCACTTCACACCCCACCATCACTGTATTAAAACTGTTGTTTCCCAATGTTAGAATGTTGCTGTTATTGTTAAGTGCCATTGAGCCCATTCCAACCCATAGCCATCCTGTATAGTGTTTCCAAGGAGCAGCTGGTGAGCTTGAACCACTGACCTTGTGGTTCAAACTGACTTTTGCAGTCCAGTGCATTAACCCACAGTACCACACAAGGACTCTTGTATAGGGTTTCTGAGACTAAATCCTTCTAGGAACAGACAGCCTTGTCTTTTTCCTATGAATGGCAAGTGGTTTTGAAACACAGACTTTGAAGTTAACAGCCCTTTTATGTACATATGTTGTTGTTGTTGTTAAGTGCCTTCAAGTCGGTTCCAACTCATAGTGACCCTGTATAGGGTTTCCAAGAAGTGGCTGGTGAGTTTGAACTGCCAACCTCATGGTTCACACCAACCTTGTGGTCAAGTATTTATCCTACTGCGCCACACCAGTTCTCCATAGGTACACATAGTAATAAAATGTCTTTTCAGTTGAAAATCATCTCCTTTTCTACCTTAGATCCCTCTGCATATAAAAAGTTGATTTCTAGCTAATCCTTAATCAGTTCCACCTCCTCGTATTAGCTAATGAGGTCCCTAGATAGTACAAATGGTTTGCACTCGGCTATTAATTTAAAGGGCGCCGTGAAAGAAAAGCCTGGTAGTCAACTTCCCTCACATTACAGCCACTGAGCGCACTGCGGGGTGCAGTTCCACTCTGACACACAAGGGGTGGGCCTGAGTCAGAAGTGCCTAGAAAGCAATGGGTGAGTAGGTCATTAGGCTGCCATTAACACAGCTAGGAACGTTTCTGCAGCCCTGCTTTGATCATGGGAGTCCTGGTGTGGTGCTGTGGGATAATGTACTAAACCACAAGGTCAGCGATTCAAATATACCAACTGTTGCTCAGAAACCCTCTGTGGTGTCACTGAGTCGGCTGCGACTCAACGGCACTTAACAACAGCAACAGCACCACCATCACTTTGATAAGGGAAGACCACAGGTGGTACAAACGATTCATGCTTTTGACTGCCAACATTCACATCCACACACCTCAGAAAAAAGACCTGGCAAACTGCTTCCAAAACTTCAGCCAGTGAAACCCTGAAGGAAGACAGGTCTATACTAACACACATGGAGGCTCCTTGAGTCTAGATCATCTCAACAGCAGCTAATGATAACAACTTTGGCCATGGCAGCTTCGAACTCCGAGGGAAAATGTTCTCCCATAAAGTGTTCTCTGTTTTCTATTTAATAGGCCACACCCCCAGTGACCATTCCAGGATCAGCCAAGTTCACCCCCAATGGCAGCAGCTTCAGCATTTCCTGGCAATCTCCTCCGGTTACCTTCACAGGCATTCCAGTGAGTAGAAAACCAGCTACCAGTCTGGTGAAAGCCAAACGTACATTTAGAGAACTGTAGAAATATGCAGAAGCCTAAAGTTGAAATACCAGAAATAATATGCTCATATTTCTTAAGTGGTATTTGTAAACTCAACAGGATGGACTAGACCCAACTACGAGAAGGTTTTGACTGGCATTTTAGAAAATAAGGATAGAGTTTTGAGCTGCTGATAAACAACTTCTTATAAAATAGCTAAATTTGTGTTTAAGATATGTTTCTATTCTACCAGAATGCCTTCTAAGCAGAATTCAGACCCCATACATAAAAGATGGTGTTATCATTATAAATAACTTCATAAAATCCATAGCTTTTAAATTAGCGTTTTGTGGATATGCCATTTTGAAGGTTTTGAAAAAAAAAAAAAAATTTTGAGGGGTTGTGTTTTTTTTTCCAAAGCCTTAATAATCCAAGCTGATGGATTATTTGAAAATAGTTGAGTACTGACATGCACAATCAAATTTAAGAAGTTTCTAAGAATGTGATTTGACCTGTTAAGTGATTGCTGTCTGATAAATCACCATGAATTTCCTTAATTCCAAACCATTCATTTAAAACTATATTGGGTCTTTTCCAGCTTATCACAGAATACCCGAAGGTCTGCACACTGTTGATGCCTACAGTGGTGTCTAAGTCCTGATAAGGTTCAGAAAGTGGCTTAAGATAAGAGATATTAACCTTATTTCCACCTGCCCACTCCTCACAAGAGCTTCTTATGGCTAGCCACTGGCAACTCCCAAAGGTTTCCAGCAAAGACTAAGGCTTCCTATAATGCTGATAAAAATGAAAAGTGGTTGAATCAATTATGTTGTGCTCTGTGCATGCATATTTATTAAATTCCACAGAGGAATAGCCAACAATGAAATAAACCAGCATGTTGGCAGCAATTTGTGAGAAGGTGGCTTCTGAAATATATTCCTGGAATTTGATTTTTAAATAGTCCTGTGGATATGGAGTAATTATGAAAGTTGCCTGTTTTGTTGCATCTTGATAAATACTGGTAGCTCTGAAAAAGCAATAATGCAATGAGTGCTCATGTTGTTGTTATGTGCCATGGAGTCGGTTCCAACCCATAGCAACCCTGTACAAGGTTTCTGAGGTTGTAAATCTTTACAGGAGCAGAAAGCCTCATTTTTCTCCCACGGAACAGCTGGTAGTTTCGAACTGCTGACCTTGAGGTTAGCAGCCCAACTTGTCACCACTACGCTACCAGAGCTCCTGTTAGTAAACATGAAAATAGGTTTGTTGTTGTTCAGAGCCATCAAGTGATTTCCAACTCATAGCTATCTTGTATAGGGTTTCTGAGGCTTTACATCTCTGTAAGAACATAAAGCTTCATCATTCTCCCATGGAGAGGCAGGTGGATTTGAACTGTTAGGCATGTAAATGTTAAATTTACTCCTGGCAAGAATGCTAATCTTCTATTATAGTTATCAACATTTAACAATCTGTCCATTGGGGGAATTTTTTGATTGCTGGAAAAAGTTCCATTATCTTCTCATTCCATTTTCCACAAACTTTTTGAAGCTTCCTAGGATAAACACTGAACTGGTAACCATAATCTCAGTAATTCAAACCCACCAGCCACTCTCAAAAACCCTATACACGGTCACTGTGCATAGGAACCAACTCAGTGGCACACAAGAACAACAACAGTACAAAGACCCAGAGTGGCTCTCAGTATCACTTCTGAGACAACCCTTCTGTGTTAATCTGTAGTTAATTCACTACAATACAGAACTTTAGAGACCTGCCACTCTGAATTCTCTCTTTATTCTTTGACATGGGAAGAATTTCCAAGAGCATAAACCATATTGCTCATGTGGTGTAAAAACAAGTGAAGTGTGTAGATGAACAGCGCAATTTAGACATCTTTTCAGATGACCTTTATAATCAGGAAGGATTTTTTTCTCCTCTGCTTTTCTAATTAAATCATTACTTTCCAAAGAATACAAGAACCACTCTGAGTGTTTTGTACTAGCTGCATGTTTCTAAACATCTTAAACAAGATACCAGTCAAACCAAAACAGTTGCTGCCCTCAACCCTCCTCATGGTAGCTTCCTAAGTGTCAGACTAGAACTGTGCTCATTTAGGCTTTCAGTGGCTGAGTTTTCAGAAGTACATCACTAGGACTTTCTTCTGAGGTACTTCCAAATAGACTTAAACTTCCAGTCTTTCGGTTAGCAGCAGAGCACATTAACCACTTGCAGCAGCAGCCTGGTACAACTTAATAATATATGAGCTCCTGCCTTCTAAAATTTGTATCATAGATTTTCAGACAAAAGCATTAAAGAAAGGGAAAAAAAGCTATAACAAATTTAGTATTGATGATGATGCCAAGTATTTTCAAACTGAAAAAATAGAGCAGTTTCCATTTTATAAAATGCTGTTTTCCAAAAAAACATGTTACTCTTTGCTTGAAGGAATACTCTGAGGTTGTCAAATCAACCTCATTTAGGATTTCTTTTTCACCCACAACTTTGAGACCTGGTACTTTAGAAATGTTTGTATACTTGCTGGAGAGTGGAAAATCATCTTCAGAGAAAGCCTAAGGAGTGCAGGATTTTATTTATTCATTTGCCTAAGCTAGATTTCCTGAACACTGAACTTTAATAAGTTCCCTGGGTAAAACCTCTTCTCAGAGGTGGGTAGTCTGGGAGGCTGATCTGCATATTTACAAATGTAACTCACAGTTCCAACTTTTCTCACCTGAGGCTATAGAGAAAGGCAGAGGGAGGAGACCGCTTAATTACAGCTTTCAGGGACTCTTTCTTCCCCTCTAATAACATAGCTTTTCTTCTAATCATTTCCATTCCTTCCTCTGTCTTTTCAGGACCAAAAGCCAAAAACTTTTGGTCCCCTAGCAAGAAACTGGGAGCTAATCAACCTGCTATTCAAGAGCAGTTCCAATATGCTTTAGACCATCAAGAAGGTCTCTAAACTTGAAATAGAATGGTAAGATGTATAGTGGAACTGGGCTAAGTTTGAAATTTCTTATTAATAATTTAGAGTGTTTTGTAGTTGTTGAAAATATACACAGCAGAATGTATATGAATTCACCCACTGCTACATGTACAATTCAATGACAGTGATTACATTCTTCAAGTTGGACAACCACCATCATGGTCCTTTTCAAAATTGTTCCCCACCCCACTAACATACACTCACTGCCTTTGAGCTTCCTATCTAGTGTAAAGGAGTCCTGGAGTGGCGCTGTAGGAAAAAGCACTGGGACCGTAAGTTTGGTTTGAAGTACTAGGTTGGCTGTTCAAACTCACTAGCCGCTCTTTGGAAAACCTATACAGGGTTGCAAAGAATTGGAACCAACTCGACAGCATTTAGTAGTAACAACGACAAGGTACTGGTGTGGCACTGTTGGATAAGCACTTGACTGCAAAGTTGGTTTCAACTGCAAGGTCAGTGGTTCAAACTTACCAGCCGTTCCTTGCAAACCCTATACCGGGTCGTTATGAGTCAGAACCAACTCAGTGGCACTTAACAACAACAACATTGTTAACTTGACTGTTTGGTTTTTCTTAATTGCTTTTTGTTGTTGTTTTACTATCTTGGAGGGTTTGGAATATGACTGATAAGAGGCCAAAACCAAGCTATAGTTTCTTATTTGTGTGTTTGTTAATAAGACTATCACAAAAAAAATTTCTCCAGTACATTTATAGAAAGACACATTTGTATTACTGCTATGGTGTGATGTTCTGATGCAAATCATGGCTTCAGTATTTACGTGCTGTGACCTTGAGCTTGTCGTGTGGCCTCTCTAAAGCAATGCCTTCCACTCTTTTATAACCTTACAGAGTTGTTTACAGTGCAAGGATTAAATGAGCTATGCATGCAAGGTGTCCAGTACAGTACAGTACCTGGTACATGGCTAACATTATGAAGCACGTACTCTTACTGTTATCTTTGACAGTCCTATAACAGAGTTGTTATGAGTTCAGTTCCAGACCACCACAAAAAGCAAATATAGCAATAAAGTAAGTGACATGAACTTTTGATTTCCCACTGCATATAAAAATTATGTTTATACTATACTGTTGTTGTTGTTAAGTGCCGTGGAGTCGGTTCCGACTCATAGCAACCCTGTATAGGGTTTCCGAGGCTGTAAATCTTTACGGGAGCAGAAAGCCTCTTCTTTCTCCCGCGGAACAGCTGGTAGTTTCGAACTGCTGACCTTGCGGTTCACAGCCCAATTCGTAACCACTAC